AAAGCCGGGCTCAGCTGTCACCAGAACCGAACCTACGGAGAAGTATCTCTGGTTTGTGGAGCTAGTCTCCTCCTCTTCCTTTGTTTCTAATTATCGATCCTTTAAAAGGTCCGTGGAAGGAGAGATTAGGCATATGAGACAGAGAGAGAGAGAAAGAGAGATACAGATAAATATGTATAGATTGAGAGGGGAGGGAAGAAGAGAGAGAGATGGCGAATGTAGTGCTTTAACTGCCACTATACTCTGTAGATAATCCGGAAAGCATACAATGTCGTGACATACACATTCTACAGTTTTTATATTTACCATATGGGTGGACATCGAGTAGGGGTAATAGATATAATATTAAATACGGGATTCTCTGACCAAATCCAAGGGATTTTTTTATTAAAAAAATAATCATAATCAATATTTAATCTTTAGCGGTAAATAATATAATTCCTTCCTTTAAAAATACACATACCATGAAAAATAAATTTCTACTCTTTCTCCCTCTCGGAATTTTGTAGAAATCTAACTTCACCGAAAATGTTTCCTAGATAATATTTCTCTGTCCGGAAAAAAAAAAACCAAATATTCCATTCCAGCACAGCCTTCGGATGCCGGAAATGAAAACGGGGGAAGCCTAGCCTCTATCTATGTATTGTCTGTCTTTGTTAATTGTATAGCGGCACTGAATGCTTGCCATATATTTATTCTGTAATCCGCTCTGAGAGATAGAGCGGCACATAAATAAAGTATATTATTATTATTATTATTATTATTATTATTATTATTCACAGGATTTTCATCCAAGAATTTTCCCTCCCTCCTTCCCTCCTTCCCACCCAACACCAAACGGGATTCTCATTGAAAAAATAACATCTGAGGTTCATTTATTTTCTTATCACCCTGACATTTTTCCTGGTGATTGGTTTCATCAGACTCCTTTTTTATAATATATTTTATTTACCTATTATTATTTGATACACAACAAGATTAGTGCACAACAAACAAGATCACTATCCTGGCTATTATTATTATTATTATTATTATTATTATTATTATTATTACCTATTATTTATTATCTTTATTACCTATTATTATTATTATTTTAAATGGAAACATTATATGTCTTCAAAAATTTCACTGGTTGTTGTTTTTTGGAGGAGGACAGTTAACATACTACCCTTGTCCGCATTGGATAGTAAATCAGCAACTGGAGGTTGGAGCCATTTTATTTATTATCAGAAATCACATAATAATACATTCAATTTATTATCGCCATCATCATTATCATTAATATCATCATCGTCATTATTATTATTATTGTGAAACAACTTTGTACATGACTCTACAAAGCTGGGGAAACGTGCTATGACAGACATTTGCATAGGCTCTACATAGAATAGCTTGAGGTAAGAACAATACATGTGGACTATATTGCAGTGGGTGCATATTTCACAACAGCAAGGGGGGGAAACTAGACTAAGAGACTCACAAGCAAAGGGACCGAGCCACGGACCACATCGAGGGACTAACACAAGACGGACAGAATTTCACACGGAATAATACTTGAATGCAATTTGCATATATTTTCAACTTCTTCATATTTTTTTCTCTTTTTTAAAAAAAACAACACTTTTGTCCCCTCCCCTGGAGTGGCAACCGAGAATGGTCTCGCGTGGACTGTTACACACCGAGGATGGGATTCTTGCTGGTGCGTTGTGTACCGTGTGATTCCAAGAGCAGCAATCCCTGTCCTTCAATGGAGATAGAAAGGGCTCTCGGCACGAAAAATAGGAACAAGACAGTCTCTTCTCACTCAGGCGTCCTCCCTCCCTCCTTCCTTCTCTCGCTCTCTTTCTCATTCCCTCCCAGTTGAGGCGGGTCTAATCCAACCCGCATTAAGACGTTTACACGCCTGGTCAACCGATCCCAAAGTCACAGAGCCTGAAGTTGGCAAAGCGAAGGCAGGCGGCTGCTGTTGCGAACGAGGGACAATGTATTCCCCCTCCCAGTCAGTCAAGATGGAGAAACCCTGTGCTTGGAACATTTCCCTATAATGTCTGCACAAAGCTTCCGCTTTTCTTTTTATATACCTATATATATTTATATAACATATCACATTATGCTTCAATGGCTCACGGTGGTCACTTTGTTCGGGAAAAGGCTTCTTGTTGAAATGCATACACACATACACACACACACACCCTGCAAAGCCTGAAAGGTGAAAGCAAGCCGGGGCTAGACGCTTCTGGGGCCATTTCTGCAAAGAGAAAAATAATAATAGGTGCTTGTACACTTAAGACGGGGCTCCTCGGCTTCCCTTTGTGTCACTCACAACAGCACACCCATTGCACTTAAGTCGGGAGGAAGAGAGAGAGCCGGTTTAGAGAGATAGGCTGCAGTATGCGTGCTATGCGGTTTCTATTTCTTGAAAGCGGGGAACCCTTGCTTTCCAGGGCTTCTTTATTTTGCAAACGGGGCAGGCTTTATAGAAAAGGGTCTCCCACCGACCCCTCGCACCCCACCCTAAGGATATGGATGGAAAAGGAAAGGGCTGTTGGAGAAGAAGAGGGTAGAGACTCAAGGGAAAGGGGAGGGGGGAGGCATTTGAAGGACTAGACCGCATCCTTTGCAGCTCGTAAAGGCGAGGCATTCCTGCCACTGGTCATGACCATGAACGCCGGGATCGGGAAGCACGTGGGGAGCCATGCAGCCCTGCCAGAAAAAGGCTTGCCTTTATCGTAAAATTAATCCCTTCTGATATAAAAACTAAGTAGGAAGCAAAGCGTGCCGCAGCAAAGCAACCCTCCCCCCACTTAAATGTCCTTACACAAAAATTGAGAACAGAGTTGGGGACGCTTTCAATGACATTCTTAAACACGATCTGGGTTTTTGAGGGAGGAGGAATCCCATTTAATACCACCCTTCTGCCACGCCATGAGTGGGCTCAGGAAAGAGGAAGGGGTGCTTCAACGTGACAGCCAGCCCTACAAAAAACCTCATTGGCACTATGTTGTCGAAGGCTTTCATGGCCCGAATCACTATGTTGCTATGAGTTTTCCTCGGCAGGAGAGAATACTTCTGGAACAGCCCGGAAAACTCACAGCAACCCACTCATTGGCAGATCTGGGAAACCCACCTAGTCTGCTCTTCCCCAACCCTTCCTGCTCCAGTCTACTTTTGAAGGGAAAACTGCAGAGGGAGATATACCGAGAGAAGAATGGAAGCTTTGAGTGAGAAATTACCGTATATCACCGAAATTTCGCGCCTAAGCCGCTGTTTATGTCTGGTTGGGAGCGAGAGGGAGGGGGCAAAAGAGAGGGAAAGGGATGGGGACATAAGGTGACACCTCCCAAATGTGCACCCCTGGGCACCTATGGAAAATCGGGAAGGGAAACAGACAGGATAGTTGTGCAGCCCAATTCTGCAACACACACAAGGCCACCTCTGGAGAATACACCAGTTCTCGAAGACTACCGCTCCCTGTTGTTGGTTTTAATTCCACCTTAACTCAGTGCCTAACTAAACATGAGGAACGTTAAAAAGAGGAAGGGGAATCCCTGTTTCTTCATTTCGAAAAGGGAAATCAATCATGTTAGATGAGATCTCTCAGGGCCCTTCTGCACAGCCATATAACCCAGAATATCAAGGCAGAAAATCTCACAATATCTGCTTTGAACTGAGATGTCCGGGTCCACACTGCCATATATTCCAGTTCAAAGCAGATAATGTGGGATTTTATTCAGCTGCGTGCAAGGAGCCCCCGGAAAGGGAGGATTAATAGCTTTTAATCGCTCCAAGGGTCTCCCACATAGGGGCTACCATAGAGTTGATGTATAAAAGGGGGCACCTGAAACCCAATATTATTGAGAAGCACTATGAAAAATCCCTCTCCGGAGATAGGATCAAGCATACAGATTGTAATTGTTATTAAGCCTTCTCCAGTTGGGTGGAAGGGATGGGCGAGGGCACCCACAGCTAGCCTAAGCACTCAGAGTGACAGAGGCAGAGTCTTAAAGACGGAGGGGGAATACATGGACGAGGCAAATGGGTCTGTTTCTTTGACTGGTGGCGGTGTTGACTTCTTAAACTCGCTTACTCGTAAGTCATCCCAATGACTGCCACAGGGATTTTCTCCCAATTTAAGTCAACATTACCGGAGGAGTGTAGCAGTCAGTGCACTCCCCAAGACTATTTCATCTTAAACAAGGAGAACAACGAAGAGCTTTTCAATCCTTACATTGAGGGGACAACTATCAGGCGGCATTGACGCTCATCCGCACCCCACACACTCGGGCCCCTTCCAGACAGCCATATAACCCAGAATATCAAGGCAGAAAACCCCACAATATCTGCTTCGAACTGGGTTATCTGAGTCCACACTGCCATATATCCCAGTTCAAAGCAGAAAATGTGGGATTTTATTCAGCTGTGTGGAAGGGGCCCAGTCCACACTGCAATATATCCCAGTTCAAAGCAGAAAATGTGGGATTTTATTCAGCTGCGTGGAAGGGGCCTCAGAGAGAGAGAAATACTGCCAGCCTCTGCTTTAGGAGCTCTTCCTCAGACTCATTTTTAAAATTATCTCTGGCAAACAATAAAAACAGGCCTCTAAGAATTATTAGAGTTTTGATTTATCGGCGGACACAACATCAACTTTCAGGTTTCATGAAAAATCCCAACATATTAACCCCAAAACACCCACTTACAGACGGCAAGGCGAGGGCTTTGTTGGTGGACCGGGCAACCTACCCAACGCTAAAGCCAAGGAGAGGGTGAGTCCTGTTGCTCAGAGTGGAAGCCCCACTTGTGAATACTGGAGGCGTGGGAAATATGGGGCTCAAACTTCCACCCAGAAGCTCCGCCACACAGGCGGCCAAAGCCTTGTTCACCATAGAGACCCAGAGCGGTGAGTGAATGGGAAGGATTCATATTCACATTTGGGACTTTTCCCCAACCAATCTAGGGTTGGAGGGACTCACTTTCTCATTCTCGCTGCCTACACGCACACACATACACACAAACGCCCGCTGTTGGGCTTCTGAAAAGGATACCGACTTTCTTTCAAAAGAAAGAAAGAAAAAATATCAATCGGAACCAGACAGGTAAGAGTCCCGGGACCGTCAGCTGGGAGGAAGGCTATGGAGTCTCTGTGGCTCCCCCAAATACGGGCTTGCCTGGCGCTTAAAAGAAAGAAAGGGCTTGTTCTCTCAGGAGGAGTCTTTTCTTTTTCATGCGCCGGTTCTGGAACCAGATCTTCACTTGCTGGTCGCTCAGGTTTAACCGATCTGAAAGCTCCCTCCTTCTTTGGCGAGTGATGAATTCATTGACCATGAACTCCCCTTCCAGCTCGGCGAGCTGCAGCTTCGAGTAGGGCTTTCGCTTTTTCCGAGACCTTGTGTGCATCGGATACCAGGGGGCACCTAGGAACATCGTGGTGGAAAAGGAGATTTAACACGTGGGAAGAGACAAGAGACCAAGAGGGGGGAGAGAATGAATGGGAAAGAGGGAGAGAGAAAAAAACCCACCCATTCCTCCCTTTCAGCCAACTTTCAGTTCAAGTTCTTGGCCAAGGTGAGGCTCCAGGTCTCTGTACACAATGTAGGGAATATTTTAGCCTCTGGTGAAAGAAAGGAAGAAGAGGACAGAAAGAAGGAAAAGGAGGAAGCCTAAAGACATCTGCGTTTTAGATCCGAAGATCCTGGTTGAGGAATAGCGTCGGAGAGCCAACACAAATTGAAGACAAGTCTGAAGCAAATGGTTGCTACCGTTGTCTCTCATGCACAAATTGAAGGATTTTTAGGAAGGAGGTTGGCTTTTGGATTTTAAGACATGTCTATGAAAGGACAAGGCAGAACAGAGTTAGAGTCCGCTACTCAAATGCCATCAACTCGAAAGTTTAAGGATCAGCCATACCCTGGAATGAAGTTTGGTGTCATTTCTTGCAGAGAAAGCCGTCGTTAAGACAGTGCTATGGAGTGGGGTGGTTCAAAATTGGGAAAGGGCTGGGTGGGTGGGGGTCTCCATGTTAGAGTCCCAATAACGAGCGGAAAAGAAGGCATGCATGTAGTCAGCAGACCAACCCAGAGGCACCTCAAAGCGGAAGACAACCCACTGGCTCTTCTTCCTGGAAACCTTGCTCACTAAGTCTATGAGAAAGGCTCCTTTCTTTCAAACAGCGCTCCATTATTGAAAGGAGACCTCTGTCTGGACTGATAGCGGTTTTGTATTGGCTGTGGGGTGGTGAGAAGGAGAGAGATGGCGTTTGGAAAGCCAGGTTTCTCGAAGGACTGGGAAGCCTCTCCTTTGGAGATATTCCTCCTCTGACTTTCACCTGAGATAGCTCTAGCGAAAGAGAGCAAGATCTCCACAAAGTCCTGCCAACGGGAGTCCTCTCTGAGCCTGAGATTCAACCACAGAGCTGCTTTTCCATCAAGAACCTATTCAAACTATTTTAAATAATAACTCGAGAAGTTATTATTTCAGCTCGACAAATATCTTTTGCCAAACCCATGAGATTTGGAGATGGAGCATATATATATGTGTGTGTGTGTGTTCAGATCTATTGCCAAATCCATGAGGTTTGAAGATGGAGGAGAAAAATATATCTGGTATGAGATAACTGGCCATCTGCAAGGACGTTGCCCAGGGGAAACCCAGATGTTTTACCATCCTGTGGGGGGCTTCTCTCATATCCCCAGATGAGAAGCTGGAGCTGACAGGCGGGAGCTCACCCCTTTCCTGGATTCCAACTGCCAACCTCTAGGTCAGAAGTTCTGCCGGCACAAGGGTTTAACCTATTGTACAAAGGGGGCTCTGAGTTTTCGACAAGAACTTATTGAAACTATTTAAAATAACAACTGGAGAAGAAACCCCCTTTTAGGTCCATATCTGTTGCCAAACCCAGGAGAGAAGCAATGTGTAGAAAAAAATGCCCATAAATCCTGTTCTGCAAGACTTTGCCTTCCCTAATTCTTCTAATATTTGATAGCTTCAGTATACTCAGGAATGGAAGTTTTGTCTCTTTTGTAGTAAGTCTATACTGGAGAAGAAACCCACTTTTTAGTCCATTCCTATTGCCAAACCCATCAGATTTGGGGATGGAGAGATAGAGAGGCATGAAGCCCGGTCTGCTTGCCTTGCCCATCCTCTCTCTTATTTTTTATGGGATATTTACATGTTTATAGGCTTTTCTTTTCAAAGAAGCACCACCTCATAAAAGCGCGAGGCATTTGAGGGCTACCCCTAGCGGCCTCGGCACAAATAGACCTCGCCTTCGGAGCCCAGGAGGAGTTGAGCTGGAGCGAGGAGACTTTGGAAGATTGAGAGAAGAGGAAGAAGAAGCAGAAGAGACAGATAGAGAGAAAGGGGATATCATGATTGATCTGGCGGTGCTGGCTTACCGGGGGTGGAGAGGCTTCCTCCTTGGTGCAAGGGGGAGAGCATCGCGGAAGGCTCGTTGCTGCCGGCGCCTCCTCCTCCTCCCTTGTTGCCTTCGTTGAGCAAAGAGGAGCTGGAGTCGGACTCCAAGGACTGGCAGGAGGCGGGGTCGTGGGGCAGCGCCTCGGGGGCCACGGCCGGGTAGTCGAACTTGCCGAAGGTGGCCACGGCGCCCATGCCGCTGCCCGAGAGGCCGCTGGGCTCGAGGGGCATCAGGGCGCCGCTGTCCCTCCCTCCTCCTCCTGCCCGCTCCTCTCGCTTGAGGGGCGCGCCCTCGGAGCAGGCCTCGCGGTAGTAGCACTTGCTCTCCTCCACGCGGGCCAGGTCGCAGGCGCGGCCGAAGGAGGACGGGTTGAGGGAGACGGGGCTGCCGAGGTAGGGCTGCGGGTACCCGTTGCAGGGCTCGGAGGCGGCCCAGGGCAGCGAGCAGACATTGTCCCTCCGCGGGTAGGAGAGCGACGGCAAGCCGGGAAGCTGGCCCCCGGAAGCCCGGAAGTTGGGGAAGTAGAAGGTGTCTCCCGTGTGGATGTTCACCAGCGGCCCCACAAAACCCGGATTCAGGAGATTATGCTCGCCCATTTCCGCGGGCCTGACCGAGAGCTTCTAGTTTATTGCTATCTGACATTAAACATAGTTAAACCTAAAGGTCCGCCCCATTGGTCCGCCGGGGGTCACGTGAGCGCCAACTCGCACTGGAAAGGGGGGGGGGAGAGAAAGGGTGCCACCCACCTTTAGCAATTTGAGACCAAACAAAACATTACGTTCTGCTTTTCGCGTTTTTCCCCCCTTCTTCTTCTTCTTTTTTATATGCTGCTTGTTTTATTTAAAAAATCATAAAACCTTTTATAAAATAATACAACGGGCTTTAAGCACTGGCCTGAGAAAGCCACGGTATGATAAAAGACATATAGGAGTGCGTGCGCGCCGGTATATCTACCTCCAAACCTACATTTCTATATATTCTTTCTTTTTTAAATCAAGCATACCCAGCTGCGTCCAGGGTGCCTTCAACAGCTGGCAAAATTAAGCTATTTTCCTCATTAATTGGCTGCCTTTATTAACTTAAAACCGGTCGGAATTTACAATATCTCCCAATAAATTACTATTAGATATTGTGTCATATAAAGTTTACAGGCTCTTTAAGGAGACGAATGAGCCTAACCGCAACAGGCTCATATTTACAGATGAGAGGGGTGGAAGAGTTTCCCAAGCGCTCCAGCCTTTCCACCTTTCCGCTTACTCCCCGCCTCACACCGGGTGGATTATTTAGAAGCAAATATAAAGCAACCGTTGCCGAGACTGGGATGAATTCGAGCTTCTTTTTTTCTTCAAAAATGGGAAAATTCAAGTGCAGTTTTTGTACATTTCCCTGGGAAGCAGAATCCATGCTTTTGTGTTTGTGTGTGACAGAAGCGACTTGAGAAACTGCAAGTCGCTTCTGGTGTGAGAGAATAGGCAGTCTGTAAGGACTTTGCCCAGGGGATGCCTGGATGTTTGATGTTTTACCATCCTTGTGGGAGGCTTCTCTCATGACCCGCAGGGGAAGCTAGAGATGGAGCTTCCATTTGAACCCCAATCTGGTCGGTCGACCAGTTCAGCCAGCACAAGGCGATGGAACAAAGAGAATGGGAGGGTGTCTATTCTCCCCACTTCTCACCTGTCATAACTCTAGGGAGGGGGGATCGGACCACCGATTCAAAGTTATGGGAATCCATATACAGGGATGAACATAAGATCTAGAGAAATATCTAATTCCCGACAAGCTTGGTCCTCCCACAAAGACAGCTGCTTCCCAGAAAACAGATCCTCTCTGTCTCTGGGAATCGAGCTTCCTATCCCTCCCAAAAAGGGGGGTGGGTGGGGAGACCCTTAAAGATAATACAGATTTGGGAAGAATCCAACCCTGGAGCTTCAGAGAACAAAGGAAGGGGATGGATACAAAAGTAGGAGATGGATACACCACACACAGATAAATATATACACACACATATATACACACACATATACATACACGTTGGAAATAGCACCCTTCCAAGCCTTCACTATTTGTTTGTTAATGTATTTTTTCAAAACACACACACATATATAGTCCTCCTCCCAATTTCCTCTCTGCCCTCCTCCCTCCCAAGTACGTCTGAGGAATTTTCTCCACCACCAACTTCCAAGACTGCCGGGCGAGAGGGGAATATTACCGTAAATACTCCTATAGAGGTCAGGACGGATTGGAGAGAGATGCGACACCCTGCTCCAGAGAAACCCAGGAAAGGAAAAAAATAGTAGAAGGCTTGTGTTCTACACACACACACATTTCACTTTGAGGCTAAACAAAACCCAGGATTCTCCACATTCCTCTGCCTCTGCTTCCTTTACATTAATGGCACGCTGGATACTTTCGTGCCCCCGCTAGGTAGGAAGAAAGAAGGGGGGGGGGGGTGAGAAATCACGTGCTAATCAAATAAACATTAGTATTCCCTCTCCCTATTAAAGGGGCAGCGCCCTGATCTCCCCCATCCCCTTCCCCAAGTGCCCACATGCAAGCAAGCCCTCCTTTCCCAGCCGCATAGATGTACTCTACCTTCTATCTAAAGGCGAGTCTTGTGTCCGGCAGCCAAGCACGGTTAACCCGACATTATGCAGGGCTAGCCCCATATTCCTAACCTTTTCAGGCGCAACCGAGCAGCGCCTTATAATTCACGCTTTTAAATGGGGATATTTTATCTCTCTCTGTTAACCCGCCGTGGAATAAACCGTTTTACAGCCTCCTCTTCGTGTGCGAGCTAAGCTGCCCAGACATTTGGGATTTTATTTTTATTTTTCAATAAGAAGTCCCAGTTCTTTGTTTTGATCTCTTGTCCGTTTTCTCTCTCCCTGGCTTTGTGGCTTCCGAGGCTGCCTGGGCTTTGTTCTCTTATCAAGAGTAACTTCAGCTTCCCATATGTCTGGCGGAGACATTTATATTCCTTGCTCCGATAACAATAGTTCAGGATAGAGAGCAGAGATAAATAATAACGCTGGACACCCTCAGCTTTTCACCACGTCAGTTATAACATAAAATTATCCCATCCTAAGACACCCCCCCCCTTCCCCCAATTCTTAAATATATCCAGCAAAACCTGAGCCGTGGAATAAGAAATGTAGCCACGAAGTCTGGAAACACCTTGAGACTAAAAGGAGACAATATTATATCGGATTATCCTATCCAATAGATCTGGCGGCTGTGCAGTCCCATACTTCCTCAATTAGATCTTTTCATTCTCATTGATTTAAATGGTATTTCAGCTCCTTAAATGAGAGGGAAAGATTTCCTTATATGGAATAACAGGATATTTTTGATCAGCTGCATAATATTTTCATGACTGCTGCTGCCTCTGTTCTATTGTCCCTGATTATTATCATCACTATCCTCTGGAATAATGATGTCGCAGATTTTTTTTAAAAAACACCCAAAACAAAGGAGAATAGAAATATAAATCTTTCTCTATGCCTTTTAAAGATTTTATGGATCTATTGTCAAAAATGGTGCCCTTTGGTTGTTATTACGCCTTTAGGAAGGGGGGGGGGGAGAAACTCCACGCGACTCTATCCTTGGGAGAGAATGTAATTATTTCACTGCTGTCCTTAAAATCAAACATTCTGAAAGACTAGGCTAAGCTCACTCATGAATAATTGATATTAGTAATTTAAAGGAGGGAGTGGGGAAAAGAAACGGGGGGGGGATGTGTGTCTGAGGGTGAATTCGGTTCTCATTTCGCATCTCCATGGGTTTGTAAGTCCAGACTGCTGGGATATAGGCAAAAATACCTGGGGGCCTTCTACACAGCCCTATATCCCAGTATATCAAGGTAGAAAATCCCACATTATCTGAGTGTGGACTCAGATAGTTCAGTTCAAAGCAGATATTGTGGGATTTTCGGCCTTGATATTCTGGGATATAGGGCTGTGTGGAAGGGTCCCCACGCTGAACAAATCTGGCCAAGAAAAAACCCACCATGGTCTGTTTGCCATGATTTAGAAATGATAAAGGCACACAACATGTTTGGAAGGGCCCGGGTTTCTCTGTTTGTCATCCCAGGGCCCTTCCACACAGCCATATAATCCCTGTGTTCTGAAGGCTGGAAAACCCCACATTTATTTAAATCCCAGGGCCCTTCACATATTCCAGAATATCAAGGTACAAAATCCCATAACATCTGCTTTGAACTGGGTTATCTGAGTCCACACTGCCACATATTCCAGTTCAAAGGAGAAATGTGGGATTTTATTCAGCTGTGTGGATGGAGCCCCAAAAGTCCTACAAAGAAACATCTAGTTATGGGGCAGAAAGAAGAGGAAAGCTACTTTGTTGATTTGTTTACTTATTGACTTTATTTTTCTGATACAGGAAATCAGCTACTAATAGGCCTGAGAAATACCTATCCCTATGGAAAAGGCTGAGCAAAGGAGGAAGGAAGGCTTTCCAAACCCTTCACCACGCACCTATCTGGGGGCCCTTCCACACAGCCCTATATCCCAGAATATCAAGGCAGAAAATCCCACATTATCTGAGTGTGAATTCAGATAACTCAGTTCAAAGCAGATATTGTGGGATTTTCTACCTTGATATTCTGGGATATGAGAAGGGCCCTGGAATTTAAATAAATGTGGGGTTTTCCAGCCTTCAGAACATAGGGATTTCTCTGTTGGGAATCATTTCTTTGGGGAAAGGGGCCCAGAGAAAGTGGAATCCGAGAGGAGCGAGATGGCGCTTGAGCCAGTTCAAGGTCACTGTCTAGTGTATTACATGGGCCCCGACATCTTATGCAAATGACTGTCTTGAAAGGCACCAGCTAAGGGGAGAGAGACACAGAGAGAGTTTGAGGAGGGAGGGGCGACCCCCCTCCTCTCCCTCAGCTCTTCCCAACAAAGCTTTGTCCCGAGCTACTTCCACCTTTCCGAAGACCCGCCGCAAAGTATGCGAACTCTTCTTCTCTCCACAAAGCTCACCCTCTCAAAAGGATCCTCTCGCCTTTCTTTCTTTGACTCCTCTCTCTCTCTTTCTCTCTGCTTCCCAAAACATTTCGCCCTCCCTTCAGAGGGTCTTTCTCGAAACAACACCGCCCACCCGCCCAAATACCAAACCGCGCCAACCTAGAGGGAAGATCCCACGCCAACTTATTTCAACATCATCGCATTAAAATAATAAAAAATGCATAAAAAGATTAGGAAAACGTCTCCAGTTTGTGGCAAGAAAATACAATTGAACGCAACCTTCTGGTGGAAAATTCCTTTCCGCAACATAAAAAGTGGAGTACAATCCGTGACTCCCCAACATCATCTCCCCCGGTTTTAACATCCAATTGACATTGTCTCAAATTCTGTTATTTGGCTGAACAAAACCTTTTAAAATCCTTACAAAAATGTTTTCAAGTTTTAGACCATCTATAGACGTTCCATACAATCCCCTCTTGTTTATTCTTGGTCATATTCCTTTGGAGACCAAGGTAACATATTGTGTTTCATAAAGTCACATATTCATTTACAATGGCCTCAAACCCACAACATTGGCCACTGGCCACCAAAGCCTATAGAAGTGGTCCTGTTCAAATGGATGGATGTGATGGCTGGATAAAAGGGACTGGGGCCCCTTC